TCTACTTCATTTCCATCATTACTTCAAACTTTTCACCTAAAATAAACTTACCCTCCTTACTCCTAAAGTCTGAGTTGGGTACACCTCCTGTGTGCTTACCTGAAGACCCCTCATGTCCTCTGTCATTAGAATGACCACACACGCCAACCACTGTCCCAGTGTAATTGTTAATAGCATCTCCTTTTTTTTTTCCACTGGGTCTCAGTAGATCATGTAATGACTGACAGACCTATCATAATAGTCCAATTACTCGTGTTTCTTCTATCTCCCACTGGGTGGCAAGCTCAAACACTTAGTAGGAAATTAGCTATTTGTTGAATGAATGAAGCACTGAGTTGAACTAGAAGTCTTCTGTGAAATAAACTTGTTGCAGTTAACCCTCCAGAGCCTGTTATCATTTCACCTTGAGGGAGCAACTCTCCTTCACCCTTTCTTTCTTTTTGTTTTGTTTTTTTTTTTGAGTTGGAGTCTCACCCTGTCGCCCAGACTGGAGTGCAGTGGCACGCTCCTGGCCACTGCAGCCTCAACCTGCTGGGCTCCGGTGATCCTTCTGCCTCAGCCTTCCAAGGAGCTGGAACTACAGGCACGTGCTACCACGCCCGGCTAATTTTTTTGATTTATTGCAGATGAGGTCTTGCCAAGTTGCCCAGGTGGGCCTCGAATCTGTGGGCTCAGGCAATCCACTCACCTCAGCCTCCCAAAGCGCGGGTTTACAGGCTGAACCACGGAGCCCGGCTGTCTTCACCCTTTCACCACTGTGTCTAAATTCACATCCTGTAGATGTAAGGAAATGATAAGGACGTTGAGGTAGGGTGGATTGTATTGCTACACCGCCCTCTTGTGGCTGCTATCACAAAATCCTTTCTGCTTTAGAACTTTCACTATAGTGGTTCTGCAGATATCAACCCAGATTTCATTTAGGTTTGAGGTTGGGTTTGCAGGCTGGAGTGCAGTGGCATGCTCATGGCCACTGCAGCCTCGACCTGCTGGGCTCAGGCAATCCTTCCACTTCAGCCTTCCAAGTAGATGGAACCACAGGCACGCGCCACCACGCCCAGCTAATTTTTTTATTTATTGTAAAGATGAGATCTTGCCATGTTGCCCAGGCTGGTCTTGAACCCCTGGGCTCAGGCAATTCTCTCACCTCTGGTTCCAGAGTGCTGGGATTACAGGCATGAGCCATTGCGCCTGGCCCATCAATATATTTAAAAAGCTACCCTGGTGATTGTAATATTTAGATAACCTTGGGAATATTGGCAGGTTTGGGTCATACTTAAGTGACAAGGTGACCACTTTTGATAGATCTACTTCCTGCTATATGGGAGTGGATTTAGTTTTCTTAAAGCTTACTAGGGGCAGCATGTCTCTGGATCAGTGGTTCTTAATTGGAGGAGACTTTTGCCCTGCAGGGGACATTTGGTATGTTGGAGACATGTTTGATTGTCACAATCAAGGGCAGGGCGTGTGCTAGGGCATTCAGTGGACGTAAGCCAAAGACGCTGCTAAACAACCCACAGTGCACAGGACAGCACCCACGACAAAGAATTACGCAGCCCAAAATGTCAATAGTGCCACAGTTGAGAAGCCCTGCTCTAGATTTTCTTCGCAAGGGGGATTTGGAGGAGTTCGGGGAAGGGGACCACTCTGGCAGTGAAAAGCATTAAACAATCCTTTTAACACAGTTCTCCGTGTGGAAGGTGGTTCCTGACTTTTGGTGAAGGGAATGCCAAGCTAGCCCTTGTCCATCCCCAGGAAAGGGACGGCCTCACAGCTTATCCCACCAACTCTACCATTTTCAGTGTTTCATAACTACAGCAAAGAGACACAAGGCCGGAAACGTGTCTTGACATACTACTGTATTATAAATCCTCTAGGACATGCCAGACAAATGTGCAATTTCCTTGAATGGATTGGCCATCATTTATTCATTTCCAAGAAACAGAAACAGAAATGTCAGAACATTAACTCACAGTGGCTTCTCAGCCAGCACTGGCACGTGTAGCAAACACATCCTGGCTGTGTGGCTGGAGTAAATGTCCTCAACAGCCTGGGACCACCTCCAGCTGTAGTTCAGAACCTCGGTTCCTTAAACGGAGGATGGGCGTGTCCCTCCTGACTGCCTGGGAATTCAGACATGCCGGGTCAAAAGAAAACAGCAGTGGAGGGAAATGTGGGGAAACCAGACTCAAATGTCTCAGTTTTATTTTTTTTGAGCCTAAGGAAAGGGCAAGCTCGTACTCACCCAGGGGGTCATTTGGGGACAACTGGAAGGGGTTCTCTGCTTTCTCTGTTGTAAGGGGGCAGAGGTGTGGAACATAATGTGTGTGGTTTGGCAGGCCGCCTGAAAGACTCCTAGGCCACAGCCTCCCTCCCCAGTGAGATCCAGCTTCTTCCTCCCCCTTTTCTTCTGCCCTTCCCCCAGGAAGAATTCAGCTACCAAAAAAGCCCAAGTGTTAGGAACAGCTTCTAGAGAAATCTGAGCTGTAGTAAAGGCATGAGTGCTCATAACCCTAGGGTTTACAGATCCTGGTTAGAAGCTCCCCAGTTGTGAGAACTGGCAGTGAATGAGCGTAAGATTATACAAGGGAGATGGGGTAGACACTTGGTGTTTGCCTGCCCAGCACCTGTACCTCACTTCTTCTATTTGGGAAATTCCCTAACCCCTAAGAGACAGATCCCCCAACCACCCTGAGAGTAGGAAATGCCAGATAGTCCATTCCAAGTGTCCCTAGAGGCAGGACATGGACATGTGACCTAGGATTGGCCACTCAGTCCCAGATTTTGAATTGGAAGGTAGGGATGAAAAAATAAGGAAAGGATCCCAGAGAATTCATGTTGGTGGCAGACAGTGCCGCAGCGAGAGTCATATCAGGTGTGCAAATCCAGCAGAGGCCGTGAGGCGGTGGTGAGTTCGTGTCTACTGCGGGGACAATGGCCGTGCAAGGACAGGGTCATCACTCCTGTGCTGGTTTTGTAATGTTGGCTGCGGTCTCAGCCATTGCTCAGTCTCCTTTTTTTTCCTACTCACCTTCAAAGCCTAGTTTTGCAGAACCTGCTAGCAGTTAATTGGACCAATCAATATCTTTAGAGTAGGTTTCCTTTCTGCATTAAAAATCCAAAGTCAGTTTCTGTTGATTGCAACTTAGAACCCCGTTACAGCTGGTACCAGGAAACTGGATTTATTAAACAGCCCACTTAAAATATGAGTTGACTGAATAGAGGAGGTAAGATCGAAGGCAACAAGGACCTCAGGGTTTTGAGTTGGGAAGTCGGTGCCCTTGTTATGCAATAGTGTGACAGTTGGTTGTTTCTCACGGTGGTCAACAAGGTGATGCAAGAACAAATAAGAAAAAGAAGAGTTTATTTTTTATTTATTTTAATTAATTAATTAATTAATGTTTAAAATTTTATTTTAAAGATGTGGGGTATAATTCAGGATTAGGTATACAAGTGGTCATCGTACAGGTAAAGTTTGGGCTTCCCTTTGGTCTCCATTTTGCCCAGTTTAAGAAAAAGAAGAGTTTAAATTGAAGATGACCTGTCTGAAAGTGGAAAACAGGAAAAAAATAGGACTTCACTAAAAGAGGCTCTTTCTGCCTGCAGCCTGCAAATGAAGTTATTGAGTATTCAGTCATTTGAAGCTGTTGGCCCCAGATAACTTAATTGTCTAAAGATGAATTTAGTGTGAGGAGAAGTGCTCAGGGAGTAGGAAGGGCCTGGAAGAAACACTGACCTGCAATATCCCATGAGGCCCTGGCTGTAAAATGAACTCAGGGCCCTGCTGAGCGAGTCTTAGCTGGGGCGCCAGATTTGTTGTCCAAGAGAATTAACAATGAACCAAGAGTTAAACACCCTTTTGGGAAGTGAAAAGTCATTCTGGGACAAGTTCTTTTGCATATCCCAAATTTCTTTGTAACAGCACCACCAAACACTTGCTACTTAAAAATGAAAACTGAATGCTATTTGCACAGAACAATCTTTTTAGGAATCTTAGATGGTTTCCAGTCTACTGTTCAAAGCTCAGAGACTTCAAAGTCATTCTTTCAGTTTACTGACTCTATTTTTTTTCTTTTTTTTTTGAATGGGAGTCTCACTCTGTCACCCAGGTTGGAGTGCAGTGGCACGTTTATGGCCACCACAGCCTCGGCCTGCTGGGCCCAGGTGATCCTTCCACCTCATCTTCCAAGTAGCTGGACCCACAGGTGAACATCACCATGCCTGGCTAATTTTTAAAATTATGATTTATTGTAAAGAGGAGGTCTCGCCAAGTTGCCCAGACTGGTCTTGAACCCCTGGACCCAGGCAGCCCTCTCGCCTCAGTCTTCCAAAGAGCTGGGATCACAGGCATGAGCCACTGTGCCTGGCTTTGTTTATTGACTCTTTAGCTTCTGAATTTTGCAAAAAAAAACAAAAACAAAAACAAAAAACAGATTCTCTTAGCTTCTTTTATAAAACATTCTCAAAGTGTTTTACATATAATAAGAAATTCACTCTTCTCCCTTCATTCGCCTTTTATCCAGAAAGAGAAATGGAGGAATAGAGCTTTGATCGGGTTTGCAGATGATCAGGATCAACTCCCAGAACAAAATAAAGGTTGCCAAAATGCAAACTTTTCCAGACTTTGTGTCTAATGGTCATCTGTCCGAGATAAGTACTCACTTGTCCTGGCTTTCAGTCTTTGGTTTTTATTATCCAATTCCAGCACAGAGCAAGATGGCCAGTGTCTAGACCTTACATTTTCCATTTTGTCTGCCACGCCACAGAGATGGAAAGCTCTGTTCCGTGCCTGTGCCTACTGCAGAGAAGGCCAGATGCTTGGGAAGCCTTACTTCCTTGTCTATTTCACAGGTGTGTAGAAGAAACATCACCAGATACTTGATCCGGGAAGGGTGCAGATGTGTAGCGTGTCTGTCACAGAGAACTCGGAGCTGGAGCCAAGTTCAGTGTTTATTTCTTTCGTTTTCCTTCAGAAAGTCCCTTTACTGGCTGAGTCTTTGGTGTCAGCTCTCTGGAAGTGTCACACTGGCATAGACTGTGATAGAATTTGGTTCCTGGGGACAAAACAGACAACAGTGTGTGGAGGGACTGGGTACAAGCCTCACAGGCTGCAAAGGGAACAACCCCAGTGAGGAAAAGGAAAAGTGTCTCAAGACGTCACGTAGCACAGGGAACTGCTCAGGGACTGTCACAGTCACAGCCTTGCTGGAGGCGGCCCTCGGGTCCCCAGACTGCTGCCCCGCCTGCAGCAAGGGTCGCCACTGCCTTCTAAGCACAAGCACGCCATTAGGGAGATGGGGCGACTTTTCCTCAGTGACCTGAGGACTGGCACTCAGTACCTTGACTCCCGCATTGCGTTCCTCCCTTCTCCTCCCTTCCCTTGTAAGGAAAACCACTGGTTTTGGTATTAGGCCCAGGACACAATCTGGAGCTGTCAGGAGAGTTCTAAATTACCGAGCTTTAAAACGGGGCTAGTAAGACCCAAGGGAGAGGGGAGAAGTGGTATCTGTAGAAGGAGGGGACAGGAGGGGGAAGAGGATTGTGTGCAAAGACATCCCCTGGGGAGAGGAGAGCCTGAGAGAGGAAGGGAAGGGGGGGAATTCAAGAGGTCTTGCTGTAAAATGTGAACGGTAATGCACTGCTCTATTCTTCCCCAAGAAAATATCATTTAAAATCTACATTTTAAGAAAAGTTTTTGAAGTCAGACTCGTGTTTTCACTTCCCCTCAGTAGATAAGACACTATACTGAGAATGGGCCTCAAGCTGGAGGTCTAGTTCATGGTGAAATAGGGCACCGCCTAGGCACTGTGGGTGGGTGCGCAGCAGGAACTTGGTAAAGGAGTGGAGGTTGGCACATTTGCGCCTCTGTGATCCTGAGCTCTCTCTTAAAGGAGCCCAACCAGACCCAGATTTCAGCCCAAAATGTGTTTCTGTTCATCTGGTGACAGAAAGTTTCCTTCAGAAGTAAATTTAGTCCCTGTGGATCTTGCTCTGGGTAGAATAGGCCTCCTACTCTGTGCTGCACCTCATATTCTCTTCCAGGTTCCACATCCATGCAGAGCCGCACCCCTAAATATTCTGATTTAATGGGGCTGTGCCGAGTGAGGTATGAGCATTTTTGCCAAGATCCCCCGGGGATTCTGTTTTGGAGCTGGAGTTGAGAACTCCTGGACTCCAGCTGCGATTCCCAAAGTGGAATGTACATCGGAATCACCCGGGGCGTGTAGTTTTTGTAATGTGTAGACCCCTGGGTGCTCTCCATGGATATTCTGGTTTAACAGAGTCCTAGGTGGAAGGCCCCTGACCTCTTTATTTTTGACAAGTATGCCAACCGATTCTGATGTGGTCTTTGGACGACTCTCAGGGAAACGCTAGCCCACAAGGAGTGAGCCATGATCCCATGTGAGCAGGTGAGGGGTTTCATGGATCCCCTGAAGCCAAGGCCACGGATACTCCTTGCTGCCTGCTCGCTGTGACCTAACTTTCCAAATCCAGGACTCATTGATCTATTTCACTTCATTTATACAAAAATAAAAACAAAACTTCATCCTCTCCCCCTCCTCCACGTATCCCCCTCTACAGAGAGGAGGCACAGAGATATGCCTCACCTGGGCGGGCTCTGGGACAGGCTCTGTGGCAGCAACGTAAATGGTGGTGCAGGGATCCTGAGCTGGGAGGGGGTCAAGTTTCTTCTGAAGAGGCTACCAGAGAAGCAAAGAAAGCTGGTTAGTGGAACAGAGAGAGCAAGTTCTCATCCAACCGTCTGGCGGGGAAATACAGATTCAAGAAGCCTTGCTTGAAAGTTCCTTGGAGTCATCAGGCCAGCCTCCTTCCCAGATGGGAATTCTCCCCCAAATTCCCTGGAACTCGGTTCTCCAGGTTTTGCTTGGGTCGTCAAGCGGCATCCTGAGGCCCACACCCTCCCAAGGCAGCCTCATCCATTGCTAGCGCTCCTCAGGTGTTTTAAAGGCCTTCCTTGCAGAGAATCAAAATGGTGTGGCTTTCACCAAGGCAGCTGAAGGGGACAGGTGCTTACCAGAATGTAGACGGTCTCACTCCTGTCACCTGCTACATGCAAAGATCTTCTCTTCCACACTACTGTTCCTCACTCTCCTTTGCCTCCCCACCACTCTCTATACCAAATACTGCTGTTACTCACATTTTACAGATGCAGAAACTAAAACCCAGAAAGATCAAGTACTTTCTTAACATTAATTAGCATGCAAGATGTATCAAAGCCAGGAATCCCACCAGGGTCTTTTAACTTTAAGTACACGTTCTTTTTTTCTTTCTCTCTTCCCTTCCCTTTTCCTCTCCTCTTCCTCTTCCTCCTTCTCCTTCTTCTTTTCCTTCTTCTTCTTTTCTCAGGGGTCTCACTCTGTCGCCCAGGCTGTAGTGCAATGTCATGACCACAGCTCACTGTGGCCCCCACCTCCTGGGCTAGGCAATCCTTCTGCCTCAGCCTTCTGAGTAGCTGGGCTGACAGGCGCACACCACCACACCTGGCAGATTTTAAAAATACTTTTTGTAGGCCGGACTTGGTGGCTCAACCTGTAATTCCAGCACTTTGGGAGGCCAAGGCGAGAGAATTGCCTGAATCTGCGGGTTCGAGACCCACCTGGGGAACTTGGCGAGGCTTCATCTCTACAATAAATCAAAAATAAACCGGGTGTGGTATTGCATGCCTGTAGTTCCAGTTACTTGGAAGGTTAAGGTGGAAGGATCGCAAAGAGCCCAGTGGGTCGAGGCTGTGGTGGCCTGGAGCATGCCACTGCCCTCCAGCCTGGGTGACAGAGTGAGACTCCAACTCAAAATAAAAAAATTTTTAAAAAGCTTTTTGTGGAGACAAGGGCAACTTGGTGAGACCTCATCTCTACAATAAATACATAAATAAAAAAGATAGATGACTTTCAAGATCCCATACGAATCTCAGATACTACATTTTGGAGAAAATTTGATTTAAGGAAGAATTTCTTGCAGAAATGAGGTGGTTGAGAAGGCTATGAAAACAGTTTATAAAAGTTTATAAAAGTTTATCAACAGATGCATCCTTTGCCTGTCTTCCTGTCTGGCAATAAGAGCTTAGCCTGACCTGACCTCCAGGCAGGGGGATGGAGGTAAATAACTTACATTTTTAACATTAATTTGGGAGTCTTAGAAAGGAGAAAAGGGTATAAAAAAGTTATCCACAGTCCTATGGGGACTACACATGTAATTAGATGCTCCCTTCAGGACTTTAATCCAGTCATAGAGAATTATTTTAAACATAAGTATAATAATTTAGCACATTTTTGTATCTTGATATCTTCAGTTAGGGCCACTGATTTGCACACCTTCGTGGAGTATCATTTACAAGCACCTCCAGGGACATTATTTTTATGTATTCTTTGTAAATGGCGGACCCTGAATTAATTGTACAAGGTAGTAGCTCTAGTAAGTCTAGTCCTATTTTTTTTTGAGTTGGAGTGTCACTCTGTCACCCAGACTGGAGTGCAGTGGCCGCTCCCAGTCACTGCAGCCTCGACCTGCTGGGCTCCAGCGATCCATCCGCCTCAGCCTTCCACGTAGCTGGAACTACAGGTGCCCACTACCACGCCCAGCTAATTTTTGATTTATTGTAGAGATGAGGTCTCACCAAGTTGCCCAGGCGGGTCTCGAACCCGTGGGCTTAGGCAATCCACTCACCTTGGCCTCCCAAAGCGCTGGGATTACAGGCTGAGCCACTGAGCCCAGCCTAGTCCTTTTAAATTTAGGCCAATATCACTCTGAAACACAGTGGGGGGAAACCCTTAACAAAATATTAGCAAATAAAATCCGGTAATATTTTAAAAGGACTAGGCTAAATTCCTAGCAGACAGTAAATAATTGTTAAGTGATTTTCATGTTGTATTTCTTTTTTTTTTTTTTTTTTTTTAAGTTGGAAT